TGTCATTCTTCAACTTGAACAAATCCAAATTACAATTGTTACAAGAAATGTTATAAATCACAAAAATGAGTAAAAAACAATTAATTGAACATATAAATTGACGAAAGAAAGTTAAAAATTATTGGATTTTTTTTTCGAAACAACTACTTTCATATAAAAATTGAATTACACGAAAGAAAAATACTTTCGAAATAACCACTTTTATGAACAATGAATTAAATAAAAAACATTTTACTCTATTCGGCTTGTACTCCAAATATTCGTTATGGAATTGAATCAAATTCCTAATTTTTTTTGTATAAAGATGGAGAAGTAGAAAGCGAAAACCTTTCGTTCCCAAAAACTGAGGATCTATCTCGTCAATACGTGTAATTCAATGTTTATATGTTGTTCGGAAAGAGTTCTGCTTCCATTTTTCTTCCAGGAACTTCTGTTCATGATCTACATATCTCTATAAAGAATTTTTCTGAATAATGATGGAGAAGTAGTAAACAAAAAAACTTTTTTTTCAAAAAATAATCTCTTCTGCAAAAATACTCCTTATTCAATTAAGAAATGTATTTTTTCTAGAGATTTTGAATTATTGTTGATTTCCCATCACTCACCCTGCTGCCGTGCCTGAAGATGGTCTCCTCCAGCGCGTGTACCCACTTTTGCCTCTCTTCGGCATCTCGCGCTTGAAAATGAAAAGTCTTGTGGTCCACCGTTACGGTGAATGTACTATCGTCTTCATCATCTATACCAATCACGGCTCCTTTCAATCGAACACACCCTCTCCGAACACCACGCATCATTTTTTCCTTCGACTGAAACAAAAAAAGACAGTCAATGTTATTATTCATTTCTTCGATTTGATAACAAAAGACGAAACCAACTGATGCTATTGAAAAAAAATAGGGTACAGTGATTGGCTTGTTTGGGAATAATGGGTTTAATGAAAATCACATCAACGGCAGAATTGAGTCTACCTAACCCGAGCATGCTATCCAAAAAGCAAAATATAATAATAATGATACCGGGGTGAACCAAAGCCACTCACAAGTATCAGCACAAACTTCCGACAGATCTGATCATCGGAACTGTCAGAGAAGAGCAAAGTCTCTGCACAAACATGCTTGCCGTTCCAATCTTAATCTACTCGTTTGGAGTAGTGAAGTGGGCTCGGGAGGAGCTGTATCAACTCGACGTAAAGACTCGAAAAATGATGCACCTCCTTAGGAGTTTGGATCCCAAATCGTCCGTTTCACGGTTGTATCTCCTCCGACAACAGGGATATCACTGAGTTCCGGAGTTTGGGGTGTCTACATGACGGAATGGTATTGGATGGAGCCCGTAAAATCGTCAGGAGTTCCGATCCCCTTCTCTGCATGGTCCGCGACCATGCGAGAGCAGAAATGGGAGAATTCCTCTTTAGGGCAGCTACTCGAGTTAACCAGCTGGTTAACTCGGTTTAGTTTTCGACAGTGGACGAGGTGATTACAACTCTGTCACCGAGCTGGAATCCGTTCAGCAAAAGGCCCATATAAAAGCCGCAAAGATCACTTCACTTCTGCGGCAACACAAGGATAAGCCAATGCATGGGGTCTCTTTTTCAACAACATTAAAGATTTCGGCTTATCAAAGCGCCTGACCTTATCGGTTTTCTCAAGTCGAGTGGGCTGAAGTCGGAAACCAAGGGGTTCATCATGGCCTGCCAGGATGGTGGTAATTAAGTCAATAGTATATTAGACACAGGCATGAATGTGCAGAAAAGGAGGAAGTAGCAACGTTACAAATTATATCATTCTTATTTTTTCAAAAACTACATCTCAAGATTCTTATTGAAAATGGGTGTACATTAGATTTCATTCAAATATTTTCGTTACAATGCTATTTTGGATTTTTAAATTCAGTTTAAATTCAAAAAACACCGTAAACTGACCATCATGAAAACTTCTGCAAATCCTGAAATTTTGTTGAGGTTGTCTACAGAGGAGATGAAACAGAATTGGGAAAACTACTTTCCCCTTAAAATATTCCCTTTTCATTTCGAATGTTTTCCATGCTTTAACAATGTTCCTATTGTTTGATATGGAAACTATTTCAACATGTTATTTGTAATGATTTTATCTATCTAACAACATAGAAATGCTGCTATTAATTATGGTGAAAATCAGCCCTTTACATCTTGTAATGACGGAGAAAGCAAGAGTGAATCGATTCAGAATGGAAAATTTAGAATTTTGGAATATGTGGAGTGACAAATATTGGTCATAAACCGAACATGGGACGTGAGCTGGAATATGTTTTTGGGGAGAAATTTGTCGCGATCAATATTCTTACCTTCAGCTAAATTGCACACAGGACACTGATAAATCTGAGGGTAATATAGAGACTCGTCAAGGAATGACGTGAAGAACTGAAGAAACTAGCTGGCCGGAATATATTGACTCTATAGCTGGTGCCTGAACACTCAGTTATCACAAGCAACAAAAAAGTTGAAGACTGTGCTAGACACGGATCATCAGCTCCATATATTAGCACTGCACCAGCAACGGGAATACCAAAATATGTGGTACGGGACCAGATAAAAAAATGGGTTAGTAGCAAACATGAAGAGTACTAAGCAGATACACCCAGAAAAGCACACGGAGAAGCCTTTATAAAAAGACCGCCTGAAAAAATAAATGATTCGAAACAGCAAGGATCGGCTCAGAATAATTACAGAGCTGGTCACCAGATATTGTCCATTCAGGGGATACCTGAGATTTTTGTTGCAGGCAATGCAACAGAGAGGCAGGGGCATTTCCTCATGTTTAATGTGAGGCATTGGACGATAGGAGGCAAGCAATTTATAGGCAATCCAAATTATGTCCAGAAGAATATAGTAAACATAACCAAAGGATCTTATACGGATTGGGCCAAATTGGACTTTTTTAAAGGAAAACTCCTGTTTTCAAACTAGATAGTTGAAAACTGATGGTTGTTGTGTCTGAGTGTCAAATTTAATGACAAAGCTAATGGTGAAAACCGCATATCGATATTTATCACCGTTTCTGAGTAACAACATGTTTTCCGAAAACAGTTTGGAAAAGTCGCTGTAACTTTTTCCTTGTCAAAAATCTCTTGTTTCTATGACAACACTTCCAAATCACTTTTTTACGTAGAATTCAATGGTGTAAAAAACTATTTTTTTCAAATGAGATATCGATAGTTATTGATGGAAAACTATTTTTCATGAGACACCCTGTATATTCCAACATCTTTCAATAGAGCTTAAATTTACCTTTTCAAAAATGTATCACACTGGATGTTTTGCTAGAATCATCTTTGAAATACATATCATCTAGGTTTTTTCATGTAGACTTTGAAACTCGCACTTTGATCAAGTAGGCTTTGGACGATGCAGGGATAAAACAGAATGCAAATCTTCACTAGTACCTGTCAAATTTTGATTCAAGGACTGAAGACAGACGCTCTTCAATTAGTAGTTTTTGTTTAATTTTCAAACACATTCGCAATGAAGTATGATAATTATGAAAAATGGGATGTCTGTTTTATACAGGGTGTAACTGAATAAGTGTAAAACATTTAAAGAGGTGATTCCTCATCGAAAAAAAGATAGGATTTTTCATATAAAGAAACGTCATTGGAGCATCCCTTGTTAAGATACAGCCCCTTAAAGGGGGTACTTAAAATTTGTATAACAATTTTTTTCACAAGCACTAGTGCTTGTGAAAAGTTACAATATTGAAATTAACCTGACGTTTTGTACTACCAAAAAGACACTCAGCCAGTAATTTATTTGGTTCACTCCATAGTTGTAAGGGGTGGAATACGCAACCCATAAAATTTATTCCAATGTAACTTTTTGTCTTATCATTTGTTTACCATTAAAAAATTTAT